ATGGCCTTGGAGTTATTTAATTTGCTTTGGCGCTGTTTCTTCTCCATCCGTCAGATGCTGCTTTAGGGCAGGTTGTGCAGAAAAAGCCTGCAGGCCTGGTTTTCTTTGCTGTTTAATTAAGTACTGTTACTGTGCAAGTTGAGGCAAATGTACCAAGTAATGTCTGTGATGACTAAATGAGTGTCTAGCCAGCAGGAGAGTGTATGTGTGTGCATGTCACGTGCTTTCTGAGCTGGGATGTGGGTGCGTGCCTTTATGTGCCTTTGGGTCTGCAAATAAAAATACAGTGGTCTGATGTGGGATACCAGAGCAAGTCCTGCCATTGAGATTTTAGGTGGCTCAGCACAACAGAACAGCTGTGCGTGCAGTGCTTGTGTTCCCAGGTGCTCAGCACCAGGAACTGGAGCCAAACAGCTCAACTTGTGGTGCGTTCCTGTTGTCCGGTTTGTCCTAAAGGTTCAGACTCAGTAGGATGAGAGTCCAAGAAAATCAGGCCACGGAATGGTTTCACTTTTGAAGTGACCTCTGCCTTGCCTGGCAGTCATGTACTGTGTGTTCTTACCTAGCTGGGAGGTTGTGGCTTTCTCTCGCTTTTTTTTTTTTTTTTTTTTTGAGATGTTTGTATAGGTGGGTCATCCTTTCCTTCTTGCTCTTCGTGTAGGTGCACTATTACTTCATTCTCTTGTACTTCATTACTCGTATCTTGCAATCTTTGATGTATTTGAGCCAACATGCCTTGTAAATGGTTGCCAGAATCGCTTTACCAGACAGTCCTCTCGTTATAAGTATGGATTTTACTAACCCCAAAAGAGATTGTTCCAGTTTGGTGGCCAAAGAAGCCTAGACTGGCAAAAGGACTTCTGAGGCAGTGAAATTGTGGTGCTGTCAGGCTTTCACCAATACACCAGTCACCTGGAGCCTGTTGTGCCTTGCAGCTGATGTTCTACTGTCAGCAGGGGGTTCTCAGTGCAGATGCTTACATCACTGGGTTTAGAGAAAGATGAGGGTCCTGCACTGAGGAGGAAGAGCAGAGGCAAAGGACAGACTAAGGGACTTGCCAAAGGCAATGAAGAAAGTGTGTGTCAGAGTGGAGAATTTGATTCAAGCTGTTCAGCTCCCAGCTTCTTGAATTAATCTTCAAACTGTTACCCCTCCCTTTCGTATGCAGGTTTTGTCACACTGAGTTTGTCCTTGTTTTTTCCTCCCATCGTTTTAGTTAGAGCATTATTTCCCTGTGTCACTTCTATGCCTACACACACTGCAAGGCTAGGAACCTGTTGTTGATCTATGGTGAATAACATAAAAATACATCTCTTCATTATATTGACTAAACTTCACAGCCTGTATCCCATGATTGCTTGCTTAACTTTAAGTTGCTGATGAAGCTACTGTCTATTGGGTTGGACCAAGTGAACTTCTTTATGGAAGTGCTTTTTAGTCTTTGAACTACTTTTTCAGTTAGCAAAATGCTTCCTATTATGAAGCTCATGTCTAATTAATATGTTTTTATGCATTTGTAGATACACCCCTGTGGCATAGCTCGCCATTTTCTGTCCACTGGAGAGCTCATTTGTAATTATTGATGTGATTCAGAATAGACCTTTGTGTTTTCAAATAGAATATAACCATGTGTGTTAAATAATATTGCTTGTTCTTGTGTGGTTTCAAGAGTGATTCATGTCACTTCTGAGGGTCTCTTATAAAGATGACTGAAGCCAAGAGACCCTGGTCACATCAGTGAATTCAGTATGAGGCCCCCCATGTTCATCCCGGTGCTGTGGCGCAGATCAACACCTCTGTGCTGTTTGGGACCCCGAGGCTCAGAGCCCAAAGTCACTGTTACCTTGCAAGGCAGATTGTGGCTCCCCTCTCCACTGCCTGGGCTCTTTGGGAAAGGCATTTCACCGGCGTCTCCTGCCCTCGCTTGCTTTCACTGAAGACCAGCATAGCTCTCTAAATCCTGACTCAGTCTTTGCAGGCGATGGGAGGCAGCAGGCCACCCTGTGTGAGACAAGGAGCACAAATACATGACTTCCAAAAAGAGGGTCTGGAGAGAGCTGCCTTTCCCCGAGTAGCTCGCTGGGTGAGTCATTAAGCATGCAGAGGCAGCCAGTGCCATCAGCTCTGCTCCTGGCTAGGAAGGATAGATCAAACAGGAGACAGCCCTGATTGCTTTCTGATTCACGGCCTGCCATCCCTGCATGAATCACTGTGCTTTATAAACCTGCAGCTGTTCCCTGCCAGCTTTCTGGAAGCAGACAGATCTTCTCCTCCCAGCAGCGATGCTGGAAGGCCTGTATCTGGTGCTTGGTGGAGCAGGACCTGCAGTCTCGATGGGAATTTCAGGCTGTCTGTCATCTGAGTGCAAGTACAGTCTCAGCTATGTGTCTGCCCAGTCCTCACCCAGAACAAGATGCAGCTTAGTCCTGGGATTTATGGGCTCTCAGATCAGAAGGAGGGACAAGTTAGCATCCCTCGCTAGGGCCCAGCGCCTGCTGTGTGGTGATACGTACAAATACCTGTTGTGGCATTTTTTTGGCGGGAGACATACTTTGAGGGGAAGGGGTAAGGGTTCCTGAAATCCTGGAGCAAGAGGGGGACAGGGCTAAGGAGCCAGCCCAAGAACAGTGAGCGTTGTTACTGTCCCCTGGCTATCAGTGATATGAACCATGGTCAGTCTCGGCACACCTGCGGTGTGTTTTCCTCTACGTACATCCCTGATGTTAGCAGGGGTGGCCAAAAAGCCAAGCGCAGCCCTTAGAGGCTGTTACTGGAGGGCGTCTCTGGTGTCTGGGCTGAGGTACCTGTTTTGGGTTGTTCAGGCCTGTGTGACTATGGGAGCCTGCCTCACTGCTGCCGTTCCTGTTCTGTGGCTAAATGAAGCCTCTGGGAGCAGTAAATCTGTCACCTTCCATGCACGTTGCATTCACAGGGCGTCTTCTCATTGAGAATTTACAAGTCTGTTCAGCGCATATGGTGCCACCAGCATCCATTCTCCCCACTGCCCTGGGGCTTTTCGTGCTGCAACATGGTAATTAATCTGAGCATTGCTGGAGGTTCTGATCTCTGCTGAAGACAAGATAACTGAAGAGTTATTCTCCTCCATATATGCCACCATCTCAGAGCTGCTCCCTCTGCCAGTGAAACAGCTTTCTGATACCAACTGTTGTTGCCAGATGTTATTCTAGAGAAAAATGTTTCCTTATGAAATGGTGAGGGGGGACAAGCATGGGTGGGGCTGCTGGCACGTTCTCACCTTTGCTTTCCCTGTTAGCTTCATTTATTAGTTTCTAAAGAACAGGCCTGGCTGGGGGTTTTGAGTGGGCTGGCATGAAGCTAAAGGAAACGGTTCCCTGCAAATAAAATGCAGTTATGCTGCAGAATGGCAACTGCTGTTTGCAGCCTTGGTTCGTCTGGCTCTAAAGCCAGAGGTTAGCAACGTAGCAGCAAAGATAATGCTGACAGACTGACCCAACCTGATAGCCACTTGATGTGCAGCCTGGCTGTGCGCACCCATTGCTTGCTCTCTTTACTGTCAGGTGTTTTGCAGTGGGCTGGCCAAGGTAGATGAGTGTCTGTGCTGCATGGCTGGGTTGCAGCTGCAGTGGCTCCCTGGAGGAAGCTCGCATCACTTGTGGGAAGAAGTTTTGTAATCAAAGTGAATATGAACTCCATGCCTCTGGAAAAGGGGAGAGGCTTTTTCCCTGCCTGCTTCCAGGGAAATTGCTGAAATAGGGAAGCATTTTGCTCTGTAATGTTTGCAAGGTGTTTGCATCATTCCCCACTGGCTGGTAGGGGAGGAGGAATGATTTTTTTTACTTGAATGCAGGTGAGGTGGTGTGGATTTGGTTGTACTTCTGCAAACTGCCTCACACCGGTAGTGCTGGCAGTGGTGTTCTGGGCAGTGCCTTTGTTCTGTCTGCCTGGTCAGGCAATGGTGACAATATTTTTTTGGAGAGGTTCAGACGTTCTGGCATCAACAGGAGGCAGTGAAGTGACATGAAACCACATTTGCTGCAAACCTACTTCTGAGAAACCTGCTCAAGAGTGTAGCAGATCTGTAATACTGCAGTGGGACTGACCCACAACAAACTCCCATTCATTATATATCTGCAGTGGCATTTTACGCTGTCAGATCATCTGAAGCCAATGGTTATGTTTCCTCCTCTTAGTAGCTGGGACAGCTGCCGTAGGAGGCAGCTGGCCAGTGAGAAGGGCCATGAGAAATAAGCAGAGTGAAGAAGAGAATTAATTACTTCAACGTATTGTTGGGGTTCAAAAAGGGTAGATCGTTTGAGTCAATAACAGGTATGTTCCCAGTTACAGTTGTAAAGATTAAAAATAGCCAAAACTTAGAGAGGATCTATTTAAGGCAGTTGTAACTAATGCCAGTGAGGAAAGAATATTCTCTGGAGACAGATTATTCCGTAAATGTCAAGGACAGAGGTTTCTGTCGCTGCCTTCAGAAGCAGCAGTTACAGTCTGCAGTCAGCAGCCAGAAGCTGGAATTTTCTGGATAACAGGACTGGGATTTCATTTATTTCAGTTCAAATAGGAAGAAGGGAGCGTGAACTATACTGAAGTTTCCAAACCATTATGTTGATCACAATTTGTGGTTTTGGCTTGACCGCGCACACAACAGTAGGTCTGTTCCTTTCGCTCCAGGTATTTATCTAAAGGAAAATGAGTCTCCAGAAGTGACAGCAGGATGGGGAGAGAGAAGGAGGTTGAAGGCAGTACAGGAAGGCCACATGCTGGTGCCATCTGCTTCCCTTTCACACTGTGCCAGGTCTTGTGCTGTGTAGGTCACCCAAATGAATACAAGAGTTCTTTAAGCAAGCACTGTCTAGCATCCCTGAAGTCACTTGGATGGCTTGCTGGCTGGCTTCAGCGAAAGATCAGAAGTGTGAGTTTGCAGGAGGAGAGTAACCCTGGCCTTTTGGCAGAAGGGGGGTGGTGGCTGACTGCAGCTTTTCTGATTTTTTTTTTTTTTTTCCAGGAACTTTCTGAGCTAGAAAGATGCGTGAGTATACGGAAAAGAAGGAAACATGTGGGACGATCTGTCTCAAGTACCTGCTCTTCATCTTCAACTTTTTTTTCTGGGTAAGAAGCTTCGGTCTGTTTCAGAGGCACTGAGATGGCACTGCAGTTTTCGTGTTAGGGCCACAGAGATCTTGGACTTGATGAAGTCTTTGGCAAGAAGTGCTGACATCAGTAGGATGCAGATTCTGTCCTGTGGGATGAAATCCCATCCCTTGGGCTTGCCTGCCCAGGCTGCAGAAGTTATGGTTAGACACTGTAGTCTCTGGCTGTTTTTAGGTCATGGTACTAAGTGTAGAAAATAACAGGGAGCCTGAAAATATGCTGTGTCTCTGCTTTGTTTTTTCACCTGGCTTGCTTTTTCAGGGAGCCTGGGGACTCTACTGTCTTGCCCATTCCTCCTCTCAAAATGGCAGAGGGAGTCCTGTCAGTAGACTGGGACAGCTATAGCAAGAATAACAAACACCTTCTTGCAGCTGTGTCCACAGCAGAGCTGCCTAGAGTCATGCTTTCCACCAGATTTTTTCACCAGATAGTTACTGACACCAAAGGATTCTTTTTTCCTTTGCTGCCTGTGACACAGCATTGGAGTGTCCAGGTCAGACTTTTAAAGAAAACTGTCTGAGCTTACTAGAAGCTGCATAAAACCCTCCAGAAACACAAGGCTTGCAAAGAGAGAAGGGACTGCTAGGAGTCTGGCTGGCTTCTCCATGCTTGTTTGCTGCAAGGGTTAGAGTTTAACCAGCTGGGCTGTTTAGCTCCTTGACTGCTTTCTCCCTAGATGTATAGTCTCGGAAGGAGATATTGGGCATGATTGTCATTTATTGGCAGTCTTGCTCCTTTACAAACAGTGGAAAGCTTGCTGATGTAAAACTGTTTTCTTCCCCTCTGCTGCTAGGTAGCACCCCAATAGACTTGACATTTTTTTCGTATTTGCCTAGATAACAGTGTGGCCGCATTTGGGAAGGCTCTGGTCCAAGTATGAATTACTGTGCACATGTCGATGCCCCAGATAGCTTTCATCTCGGGCTGCCTGGGATGCAAAACTGACCACCTTGAAGCCCAGCTCCTTCCAGTGCACTGGGGCCTGCGCCTGGTCCAGTTAGTCCTTCCTTTAGTGTAGATCATCTTAGGCTCAGCTTACAGAGCTAAGGCACATCCTGGTATCCCAGTCCAGTTGCTCCAGGAGGTGAGGAAGTTCATGCATCAGATGCTTTTCATTTGCTTGCTTCTCTTTCTACCCAGCTGGCTGGCGGGGCTGTGATGGCAGTGGGCACCTGGACCCTAGCTGAGAAGAGTGACTACATCAGCCTGCTCTCCTCCAGCACGTATTCAGCAACTGCTTATATTCTGGTGGTGGCTGGGGTGGTTGTCATGGTTACTGGCATCCAGAGCGTCGGAATTTGCTAAGAGTGGTAAGTTTTGCTTGATTGTTTTGTTTGGGGGAGTATTCACCCCATTTTATCTTGAACCATACTGGGAGGGAGGGAAACACCTTGGCTGTGTTCTGCACCAACTGTATTTGTTTGTCCCAGAGCAAATACTCCTAAGGCCTCTGGCTCCTAACAGCCCTGCTGTGCTTGTCCTAGGGGGCAGGTTCTACTGCAGAGCATTTCCTTTCATCCACCCAAAGAACGTGCTTACCACTGCATGGTTCAAAAGTACAAAGTATAGTTGTAATGTAAGAGTGTCTATTTGAAACTATTCAAAACAAAATCTTGCAGCTTTTGTCCCTTCCTTATTCCCTGCCCATTCCTTATGCTCTTCTGGAAAATGAGAGGAGAGAGGAAAGATGTGAGAGACCTGTATCAAAACTGACTTTTATTTACACTAGGTTCAAGCCAAATTAACATGCTTTTTCACTTGGTTGTCAAAAATCAGAACATTTCCAGTGAATGTTTAGTTGCAAAAAAAATATTTTAGTTTTTCTTTCACAAAAAAAGCCACACTGTTTTGTAATCTGCTGCTTCTTTTAAACCTTTCTTAATTCCTGAGCTCTCTGCTCACCCATGTACACTGAAGTTTTTGACCAGCCCTAAGGTTTCTATTCTTTGCCCATCTCAGATCTCACTTTCAGTCTGGACTATGGCAGCAGTCCCATTTAGTCTCTGGGCTACAGAAGTGAGTGCAGTGGTGGAAATAACAGTCAGTGGCTCTTTGCTTTCACAGTTACAGAAAAGGATACTTCAGAAAGTTTTCACCAGCTCCTTCCTTTGCAAATCCTCGTTCACCTGACTGTTGCATTTGCCCTCTTTCATTTGGATGGAGAAGCAGAAACAGGAGTCATGAGCAAGCCTGATGCTTGTACCACTACTTTGAAGGCCTGGTAATCCCTGTGAGAGGCAGAATAGGGCCGGGAAGGGAGAATAAAACACAGAGGAGGACACACAGTGCATGCGTTGCTGGTGCTTTTTCATTAGGCTGCTGGTCTGTAGCAGTCCTTTTTGGCCTTGCTACGCTTACTTTCCATGCCAGAGATCTCCCTTTGTCTTTTTGCCTCAGCCAGAAGCTTCAGATGAAAATCCGGTGGGTTTTTCTTTGTTATTCTGTCACAGAAAACTAATAATTGTGTCTTGGGAACAAAAGGTCACTCTATGTCCTTATACCACATGTCCTTTCAGACTTGCTGGTTGTCACAGGCTTATTGTCTCTTCTTGCTTGTGCTCTGCTTTGGTTGCCGGTGAGTAATCCACACAAGAGATAGGGCTGTGCTTGCCAGGGCTGGGTGAGCCTGGCTGGGGGCCTTTGCCAGCTCTGAGCTCAGACAGCAATCCTGACAGCTTCACAGTTGGTGCCCCCAGTGTCTGTGCCACCCTGTCCCAATTTCTCTCTGTACCAGAGGCCCATGTAAATATGGGAAGGAGTGCTGTAAGTGGCACTCTCTGCTCTCCCCAGTGCCTCCTTGGTGCTTTTAAAATCAATTACTGACAGCTTTGGGTGCTGTTTGTAAAATGCATATCTGGTTTTTAGTTTGTTTTTCTGTTGAAGACTCAGGAAGCTGTGAATTTTTTTGCTGCCTTTCTACCTAACTGTGAGTTTTATGAGCCCACTTCAAGGCTTTTCGTAGTATTTCATTGCTCATCACTCACAGCTCTGCTACTTGTTTTAGGTCATTGTTTATTTGCCTTCCTTGTGTCCCTCTGTAGCCAGATGATGTGCCGAGGCTTGCGCAACAGATGTGGAGTTTCTCTGGCTCTGTGAGCAGGCATGGCAGTGGATCTGCAGCCTAGCTGGTCATGATGCTGCAGTCGAGTTCTTTGCAAGCACACAAACCACTACTATATTGTACTTCAGTCAAGATGCACACTTTCATACACAAAAATATGCAAGCAGAAGTCCTAGGAAAGGACCTGTCAAATAGAAGACCTTGCATGTAAAGAAAGAAGGTGGCTTTCTTCAGGTTTGGCCCCTCACACTGCCACTTCTAGTTAGCTACCTTGAGAGGGGAGAAGGGAATGCATTGGTTATGATTTCTGTTCCTGCTGCATTTCAGCCTGGAGCCCTCTCACTGAAGTGAGATTGCTAGTTTAGGAGTGCAGTTGCTATGTATCTCTTCTTCACGTAGTGGAAAGACCTCTGCAGAGAGCGATTTGGATTGTAGGCGGGTGAACCATCCTTTCGGTTATTCAGAGAAAACACACTAAAGCTTGGCACTGCACTCAAACACTTGAAGCTGGATGGAAGAAATTTGGAACTTGTAGATCTTGAGGAGACACCAGGCAGCCCTGACTCTGGCTTGGAGACAGAGCAAGAATAAATTTTGCCCAGAGCCCACCCAGGTCCAGGCGTGTGCCTGCTACAGGCTTTTGGGTGATCGCACATTTCTGACTTGTTCTGCAGTCTCTTGGGAAGTGAGCAGGGCATTCCCCCGCAGCTCCATGCTAGAGCTAGCCTACTCCTCCCAGAGCAGAACTGTGTAAGAAAGCCCTGCAATTCCAGATGAAGAGGAAGGAAAGCAGCCCTGTGCTCTGTGTGTCCCCAGAGTGAAAACTGCTGCTCCCCTATTTCAGCATGATACTTGGAAGTGGCCCTGAGGGAATGATGAGACTGAGATAAGGGTAATGATACATAGCGGTTTAATGCCTGGGTGCCAGATGCACTAACTTCCCTTACAAGCTTTTACAATGGCCTTGTGACTCAAGTTTTTGAAGGTCTTCTGGTTACATGTTTTTTTCTATCCACCGTAAGCCAGCACAGCGAGCTGAGCTGTGGTGACACAACTCAGCTCTACCTGAATGTCTCTCACATGACGACACAGAGCAGGGAAAAATAAAGAAAAGATGCTTTCCAGTTCATTCGTTGTTCTCAGCATCCTGCCACCCTCCTGCCCCCTCCTTGGCAGAGAGGTGATGTCAGAGCAGTTAGGGCATAACTAGGTCCCAACAAAAGAAAGCCAGTCTTTGTGTCCAGGCATGCCGTAAGAGTGTGGGACCAGCCTTTAACTTTCCCCGCACTCTGCTTGGTGACTCATTCCCCTGGTATGAATGAGTACCTTGTACAGGCTTCTGCAGAGCCGGCCAGCGTTTGGGGAAGAGTGTGGGGCTGGGAAGTGAAAGCCTGAGATTGTGTGCTCAGATTAAAGCCCAGCCTGCAGATAAAACCCAGCTGTCCATCCTTCACAGCTGCTGAATCCCAACAGGGGTGAAAGAGGAAGACTGAATGTTTGTGTCTGTCATTTTACTCCTGCAGAAGAGTTTGGAAATAACTAGTAAAGGAGGGTGCACAGTGGGAGTGGAACCCTTGTGCAACAAAAGGCATCCATGCTGTGTAGGTCACCTTGCTGTGTCCAGGTCTTCACTGTCCTGCTTTGCGCCGGGGAGAGACAGTTTGACGTCCAGTTGCATTTGTAGGGAGCTGTTTCCTTCATCCCTTGGGAACAGCCATTTCTTCAGCTCAGGGGTAGAACAGAAAATGGGAGATACTTGGTTTAATCTGTCCTGGGGAGGCCAAGTCTTACAGGGACTTAGCATGAGGTGCTTGTTATGGCTGGAACTGGTGTCTCTTCAGCTTTATCTACAGAAAGATGAATTTAATAGCAGTCATAGAATAGCCTGGATCCGTAAAGAAACTGTTCATTGCTGACCAGCAGCAAAGCAGGGGCTGTGTGTCAGGACAGGAGTTCCCCCTCAAAAGCTCTCTTTGAACCTAAGGAGGAAGTGGTCACATCACCCTCTGTCTTCAGGCCTGCACAGTCCTTTTAATCTAGTACACATGTTCCTCCTCATAGGTTTGGCTTCCCTTCCTGTTTGTGTTCCCAGACAGTTTTCTGTGCTGTCCTTTTGATTCTTCTTTGTGATAAGCAGGGCACATCCCTTTCCATTTCACTGCCATTAAGCCCTTTTAAGAAATAGTCATGTTTTCCTCTTAGTCTTCTAAGAGCTCTTCTCACTTTGGTTTTGAGATACTGAGCTTTCCTCTCTAGATCCTAGTTCAGCAGAACATATAGTCACAGTCCTGAGTGTGAATCAGTGCTGGAGTCCGTCCACTTCAGTAGTGCTCTTCAGCCTGTGGTTGAGCCCCACAGAAGTCACTGGGAACATACATGTATGGTTTATGCTTAGCTGGTCTGCTGTACCCTTGGGGAAATAGACTCTTCGTTGCTGTATTGAATCATCGTTATAACATGCATTGCTCCTTAGTAACTTGGTGAAATGCCCTCCACGATATCAAAACAAGCAAAAGTTTCAATTTTTTTTTTTGTATTGATGTCGGAGTCGGAGGTTTTCTACTATATGGAGTGTAGTCATCAGGTTATCCAGCAACCACTTTCTTTTGTCTAGGGATCTTATCTCACTTGCCTGCACTTTTCCACTCTCTGCATCCGTCTGGCTCCGTGAGTTAAACTTAACGCTTGTCTTCAGTTATCCTGTGGTTTGTTTTTGTGTGGTTTTTTTTTTAACCTGTGGGATTGTTCCTTTCCTACCATATTCAGGTCTTAATCCCAGCCCCTGCCTTTGAACACTGCTGCAGAAAAGCATCAATGAAGACAGAGTCGTGCATTTTACCAGCTGATGAAAAGGTGGCTCCTGGCATCTCCTTACATTCTGTTCTAATGTCCTGCTATTCCCATTATTTTACAGTACTTCATATTGTTGCTGTGCATCTTTCTCCTGGAGATCATTGCTGGAATCCTGGCCTATATCTACTACCAGCAGGTGAGTGGACATTAGACCTTAGAGACTCAAACTAGGGAGAGAAAACAGCTGGTTATCATCCCATTTCTCTAGACGGAGTTGGGCTTGGAGGCTTGGCGCCTAGGGTCTGGTGGTGGTTCACCTTTCCACATGTCTGTACTCACTCCCCTCCCAGTAGAGAAAACCTTAGATTATTTCTTGACAAAGTGGTGGTGGTTACTCTAGGGAAGCTGCTCAGCTTTGCCGCTCAGCTCCTTCCTGTGGGTCACCTTTGTGCGCTCTTTTTCTGCAGAGCCTTGTAGAAGACAATTTTTGAGGCTGTGTAGATCTGGGAACTCTCTTAATGCCCTGCAAGGCATAGTGCAAGCAACTGAAATCACATTAGTGCCACTTAGTATATTCAGGACATAGGAACAGCTCCTGCTGCATCCAGCAAGCTCACTGCTGTACTTTTGAACTGGCAAAGATAATGAATGATCCAGCTGAGAGGTCCTTTCAGGTCAAGAAGTTTTTGAGAGCTTTACTGACCAGCTCAGCTGAGGGGCTGGAGAACACCGTAGGCTCCCAACAGCTGCAGTTCTAGCTTGGCCCTTTTTGCAGTTGCAGAGGCCAGAGGCTTAAGTCATCACTTTGTTTTCAAAGGGAGTTTAGCCACCAAGGCACAGCCTGGGAAGTTGCTCTCATGTCTGGAAGCGGATTGGAAATGGCAAATCAGGATTGTTGTCAAGTGGCTATCTGCAAAGCAGCTGGACATCCTGTCTTGTTGGCTTTGCTGTCAGGGTTCCTTGCCATTCCTTTTTCTCTTGGGCCTTCTGTGCTTTGCCTCACTAAGATGGGCACTGGCAGTTTGTGAGGAGCCAAAGAACTATGCTGGCTCCGACCAGGAGGGATCAGTGGCATAAGTGCATGTATTTAACAGAGAAGGTCAATCCTAGCAGGTGTGGCAAGAAGCCAAGGTCCGTCCATCCATCCGTGCAGAGGCAAGAGGTTTGTATATGACAATGTATGAAGAGGAGCTGATCCTTAGGTTGAAATAAAGGGCAGCGTATTCGGAGCTGTACCCTTGAGTGTTTTAGATCACTGGAGGGCATCTCTGATCCGTAGCTGCACTTCCTCTTGCCCTCTGGCTGGCAAATCCCCCTTCTTTCCTGGTTGCTGGCTGCTTGCTCTGTTGGCCACTGTTTTTATTTCAGCCCGTGCTTTGGTGTCTAAGGCTTGCATGTGTGTGTCTAAACTGTTTGTTTTGTTGTCTCTGTTCCATGCCGCCGTACTTTCCCGTGAGCCTGCAGGTAACTGCTTTTCTCCCAAGTAATAATTCTGCTAATGGACTCTCCTCTTTATTTGCCTCTGCCTTCCAGCTGTTGAACCTTTTCCTTTTTTTTTATTACACAAAGTCCTTTGCACTTCTGTAGAGCTTCCCAGTGCAGGATCTCAAAGCGTTTTGCAAATATTAGCGAATAAAGCTTCGTATCATCTCTGTGAGGTAGGTGTTGTCCCCATTTGACACATGGGGTTGGAAAAAACAGTGTTTCAAATGGAAAATAAATTGCAGACCGTGTTTTGCACAGTTCAGCATAACCAGATGCTCAACCTCTCATTTACTACTTACTGTGTAGAATAATAGCTGTATAGAGAGGCTACCCACCTGTTTCATTCATTGACCCCATCTAAAATGCATGTTGACATTGTTTATTGGTATAGGAAACTTAGAATTTCACAGGTGTTGGACTAAAGCAGCGTTGCTTTGTGAACCAGGATGACAAAAAATATACAACTCTTTCTTTGGCACTTTTTGGCTGTCACCTGGATAGGTGAGAAGAGTTCAGCTGGATTAAACGGACCTCCACAGGAAGAAATGTTTGCATCTGATCACCTGAACATGCCAGTTGTTTATGACGATGCTTTCAGAAATTCTGTACTTGTAAAATCAGACTTTGTCTCTCTGTCAATGCTAGCAAGAAAGGCCTCGCAGTACTTTCGCAATCATGCACTAAATTCCGTCCTGTGGCATCCTTTTTGATGCCAATACAACACTACATGGCTTCAGTGCAGCATGTCCAGGCCTCTGATTTCTTCCTGGTCCTGGACAGAGTGATTTGGGTTTTAGTATTTTGTCACAGGCTTGAGAGGGAGAAGACTGCACGTGGTCTCATAGGCATATTCATATTTAAGCAGGCACAGCTTTGTAGTCTCTCGATGCAGGCATGTCTTGGCAATCTTAAGTATTCAAGGTGAGGACCCATATGGTGGTGTGTAGCACAGGCTGAAATTTGGCCCTCAAGCACCTCCTTCCAGTTGTTAAAATGGAGGCATGATCTGTAATCAGTTGGAAATAAACCTGTCCAGTCAAGGCTTGGAGGATGACTTTGAATGCAGCTGTAGCTTCCACTAGGGTCTCTGCTTTCTTCTTGGAGCAAAGGCAGTGAAACGTTTGCAGGGCTCTGGGTTGCTCTGAGGGGCGAGTTTGCCTTGTGATTTTATTCCGCTTGTCTCTTCCATTCAGCTGAGCATGGAGCTGAAGCAAAATTTGAAGAACACCATGACGCAGAAGTACCGGAAGGAGGGAGAAGAGAGTGTTACCAGCGCCGTAGACAAACTGCAGCAGGAGGTAGGTCTGGCTAGAGGCAGGGAGAATTAACGCAATTGCAGGGCTTAAAATTGGGCACACAAAAGGCATCGTGGGGTCTTGACGTCCAACATACAGATGTTTCTTCTGTATATTGAGTGTATGTTCTGCTGTTCCTGATTCAAGATGCAGTTGGGTGGAGTGCAGGGCCTGGGCTGTGCAACCAGCAGAATTGCGTGGTGTGATCTGTGAATTGCATGCCCAGGAGCACTGGGGAAATATCTGCATTGCTCCCAGAGTGAACTGGAGCTGCCAAGTCACTCTGACAGCTGTTTCTACTTCCCGCTTCAAAGCTTTGGAGAAACTGCTGACATTTTTCATTAGGCTTCTCAGTAGCCTAGGGAGCAAGATGTAACGAAGGAGCCCTCCTGCTGCTGTTGCTAGCTGTGCCTGGCCCAGGGGTGGTTCAGGTTAGGGCTGCTGCAGTTCTGACAGGCTTTCCCATGGAAAGGACCCTTGTGCACAGGCACTTTCAAAGCATGGGTCCTACTCTATGCATACTGCCATAGCAGGTGCATTTGCGATAGTAACTGGTAATTAAACTTACCTTGTTACCACCATTAACACTCTCCACTCTGGTGGTTAATAGCTGAGGCAGCTGCAGCTGCGCTCTGGTTACAGTTCATCCTAGCAGTAACCAAAAGTCAGCTGGTGCAAGATAGATAAAGCTGATAGTTTTGGGGACTTAACACCAAAGTCACTTACAATTACAGTAGCCTATAAAAAAAAGAAAAAAAGCCCGTGAGATAGCTGGAGTCAGCAAAGGAGAGTGAAGACCATGGCGTGGTGTGGGAGGGTAGAGGGAGAAGGAGGTTGTGGTGCTTGCAGGCTCAGCCGTTGCTCTGTGTGCATCCAGTTCAAGTGCTGTGGGAGCAACAACTACACAGACTGGGCTGACAGCGTGTGGATCAAATCTCCAGAGGCCAATGGACGGAAAGTCCCAGACAGCTGCTGTAAGACGATAACCGACCTGTGTGGCCGAAGAGACCATCCTTCCAACATCTACAAGGAGGTAAAGAGCAAAAGGGCTTCAGAGCCGCCTGTCAGAAAGTATGTAAAGGAGGTGGGTAGGGAGTGAGGGTGTTGGGTTGATGCTGTAGACTGTCAGTAGGCTTCAAAGTCAGAAGGATTCTTTAAGAGGTGGAAGTAATTTCTCTAGTTGAGCATTCAGCCATTTAGGCTATTGTTTTATATGTAGATGTAGAGAAAAATAATGAATTATATTTGTTACTGCAGAGTATGCTAGTGATAAGGGGAAGTGGGAGAGGCTGTTGGTTCTAGCAAGAGGCTTGGATGAGAGCCCTACATTTGACACAGCTTCCTGTCATTGGAATTACTCAGTGAGGTGCAAATGGAGATACTTCTGGTCCTAGACTGAGATGGTGGGATTTGACCTACAGCATGAAGAAGCAGCATATGGGGAAAAGGCCCCATAGCAGGCAAATTAGGCTGGTTCCAGTGGGCTGCAGTTTGGGATGAGAAGAACGCTGGAGTTGGGATACTTGTCTCTTTTCTAGAAAAGCAGCAAATTGAATCCCAGACTAGCTGAGTAAGTAAACAGGTAGCTCTCAGACCATTTATTCACTCAGCTGGCATAAGGCTGGTAAAAATTCTTGCATTTATTTTGGCGCCCTTGAGTCCTGTCACCTGGCTTTAACTTGCTCGCTGTGACACTCTCTGTGGGGTAGCATAGTCCTTTTGCTAATCAGTGGAACCAGCACGGTGGCTGGCTGTATTGAGAATGGGGAGCAGCAACTGGAGCTTTTCCTTGTCCCTGTCCCCCTAACAGTTAAGGAGGGTTGTGGATGAAGAGGTGGCTCCTTCAAAACAGGTTATTTCTTCTCACCGTCTGTGCTTTGAGTAGGACTCAGAAGAGGAGTATGAGTAACATCTGCCATGAAGCCAAGCAACTCAAACAGCTAAAAGGAATCCAACCATCTATCTTTAGGGAATGAACAGGGAGACAAAGTCCAGTCGTTCTGATGTGTCAAAGCCCCTCATACGTCCAGCTGCTTGTCTGGGTTTTGCTCTTCAGGAAGAAGGCTTTGCATAAGGTTTGTGCCATCCAGACAAGACCCAGCGAGGAAGTGCAGAGGAGAGTCTGAGGGCTAATGAGGTGTTTCTGAGAGTGGAAACCCACAACCGTTTGAGGGGCAGGGGTGGCAATTCCGATCCTCTCTCTGGTCTGCTTGAAGCTGGAGGTAGCTGCCCAGCTCCATTATTTAGAGAGGCCTTGTCGGCTGCTAAATGTGTTGGACTAGCTCTAGAGGAGAAAAACGTGTAAGGGGAGGTTTGGATCTGCAATCAGATGCTGCATATCATGATACAAGGTGTCAGTCAGAGTTCAGAGAGGATTTTAGTGGCTTTGGGGAAGAAAAACCTAGAAAAGGGTCAGATCAGGGAACAGGAGTAACTGCTTTGTATCAGGGCAGCTGATGCTGACTCTAAAACCTAATTCTAGCATGGGAAAAGTGAGGCCTTTGCCATCTCTCCCTGGAGGGCTGCCTACTCCCTCCTTCCCTCTGCCTGCGTGCATGTAGGTGTAGTGAACACTGTAAACTCCTGGGGCACTGCTGTAACCTACACAATAAATCCCCCTGATGTTACCATGGAAAACCTGCCTCAACAGATAAAACAGTTTAATTATTTAAAGGACGATCTCCCCCCTCCCTCCCCCCATCCTGCAGAGAATGGTCTTACTGATTTATTTTTGCCTTATGATAACAAAAACTCGGGTGTGAAACAGGGAGGGAATGGTCAGACTGCCAGCCAGGGATGCAGTTGTAAGGCAGAGGCAGGCAGAGCATGGCTTTCTGGGTTCAGACTGAAACTCCTTGCTGTCATAAATAGTACTGGGAGGAATTTACTGTTAAAAGGCTCATGTCCTGTTAGAGGTCCTGGTACTGGAGCCACTCAGCAGCGTTTTTTGGCCTGATGGGAGTAAACACGCTCCCCAGGCATGTGCTAGGCAGTGAATGAGGTGATCTTTCTCCACGCATCTCAGAGAAAAATGACACACTTTCTCTGTGTGATGTGGCATGTTCTTCTGCATTTCTTCTGCCCAGCTAGCAGCCGCCTTGGGTTTGTTCGACGGTTCCTGAGACAGTAGGTCCAGAGAGCTTCAGAACACGATGCAGTTTACATCATCTGTATAGCTTTTCCAGTGATGCTGGAGGAAGAGATTGCCCACCAGACACTTTATAGCGTTGCTTTGAAGGGTTGCAACCATTGGATTAAAGTGAACAAGAGGTTAAAATGAAGCTGATTTTCCATGTCCCTCCTTTCACCTTGCAGAGTGGTTGCATTACCAAGCTGGAAAACTTCATTCAAGAACATCTGAAAATTATTGGGGCAGTGGGAATCAGCATTGCTTGCGTGCAGGTAAAAGGGCTGAGTGGAGTTCTGGGGGTGCGGGGCAGGAGTTAAATGAACCCTAGTGCTGAGGGATGCAAAAATCTGATGTTTTAGGCTCTTCCCTGCCTGGCAAGGAGAAGTTGCCAGGTACTTCAGGGACCCGAGGGTTCACTAGCTCCAAAGCAAAAGCCTCCTCTACCTGTCTGTAAAATTTTCTTCTGATGAAGGAGCTCAGCCAGCCGGGAAGGTGGAGAGACTCCCCTGCCCCAGGGCTGCAGGCAAGGCAGTGCTGGCCGTGGCGGGCGGTTTGGCAACCGAGCAGAGACCTCTTGTGGGATGTGCCGTGATTGCCCGACCGCTGAGGAGAAGGTTCCTACGCCGCTTCACTGGGATTGTTTTAAGTCCTCCGAACTTCTCCCTCGGCTGTGCCATGTTGAGGAACAGCACGGTGGGTCTGCAAATGATTTGATGAATAAAGGGGTAGGATATGGATGCCCCCATTCCCATTTTAGAGCGGAGGGCACAGGATATCCTGTCCTTCCAGATGCGGATGTCTCTGGGAGTTCCTCATCTTCCTCTTTGTCCTGGCAAGTAGCCAAATTACACCCTAGAGAAGCCACTGGTGATTAATTACGAGGATTAGCACAGATTATGTTCTCTCCTGCTGCTGATTGCAAGCTAGAGTGCAGTATTCCCAGGCAGGAGCTAGCTGCCACTCCAGTCTGGGTCCAGGCTTTTAGTTTGCAAGCTCTGCCTCCGCTGCATCCATTCTGTTTTCTCATGCATTTCTCTCTTCTCTTTACACCCTGTAGATCTTTGGGATGATTTTCACCTGCTGCTTGTACAGGAGTTTAAAGCCAGAACCATATTAATAGCTGCGGGAACTCTGTCCCGCCCCCTCTGCCACTTCCCTTCGCGCCTGCCAACCTGACCACTCTCCACCACCGCCACAGAAGTGTCTATAACCTGAGGACTTGGCTCTGTGTTTAAATGCCTTTCAAACTATGCACAGCCTTACCTGCCCCCTTGGGGAAAAGTAACTCTCTTTTTTGTGTACAAGGCAGCCACGAGTTCAGCGGGTCCTCTTCATTGTCAAGAAACAAAAGAGCTGTGGATCTTCTGCTAGAAGCTTTAGCGAAGCTGTCCCTTGATGTAACTACAAAGTAAGAATTATCCATGGCCATTTCTCTTGAGGCTTTTCCTGAGCCAACATGAAGGTATCAGGATGCTATGCAAGAAGCATGGTTTGCTCTCTGAGAAGTGGCTCAGCAGCGTCAGGCATTGACTGTGAGGACAGATGACGTTTCTGTGCTGAGCTGGAGCCAGAGCTGAGTCTCTCATACATGGAAGATTTCTCTCCCTCCTCCCAAGTGTGCACTGATGTTCTAACATGGCTGTTCTCTGCCTGAGAGGATGCCTGCCTGGTTGCTTGGGGCAGGAGCTACTCTCCCTGCTGATCAGAAGCACATCTTGGTGCAGCTGAAATCTTGTCATGACTATGATGTTGCCAAGATGTGGGTGCCTTAGGATTTCTCAGCAATCCTTCGTCCCCTTCCTTGAATCTTCCCCCAACACAGTGCCCTTAGGAGCCACAAGAGGCCTTTTGCCTCCTAGGGATTCAGGAGCAAAGATGATGGACTAACTTTCTAATTCTTTTGGGTCTAGTCTGTTTTATTGAGTGGCTTCCAGTGTGAGTGAGAAAACTTCTAAGTTGTTTGCTCCTGCCTATCCCCTGCAGAGGTCTGGTGAAGAACTGGTCTGCTTTTGGAGCTGGTATACCTTGCTGGCCTTTGGCCTGTTCAGTTAGTGGAAATACCAGCTCACATCTCTTGCATGTTGAGAGATGTCCTCAGCTTGATTTTTCTAATTAAAACCTCCAGGCTTGTCTCTCATGAGCAGGAAGTGACCTATGCATCTATAAATCTATACATATATCAGCCTCCAAAGAGCTCATTGATCAACTGAACGTTTTCTGGCTTTAATGAGATGTGGAAGCTCACTTTACTGGTTGCTGCCAAGAAGGTCAGGAGTGTCAGCTTCAACCAGTTGCCCCAGTGTTCTTGGTAAATTGACAGTGCTGGGTTAACTTTGTTTGCTGCAGAGAAATAGATTTGATTAAATACTCTCTCTGTGTTGGGATCCTGGATACATACACGACATAGACATCACCACTGCTGTGGACTTGGTGCCATCATTATGCCAACCAGGGTCTTAGCCTGATTTCATAGTAACATCTGTGCCTCGTGTCTAGTTCTCATCCTCCTGGCATGCCTGTTTCATCCATGAAGCAGAAAGGGCTGTTGGGGTCTTGGTGTTTCTGAGCAGTGAAGACAGGCCCTTTGATAAACAAATTTATTCCCTCTCTTGGCCTTTCAGTGGTATGGGCTGAGCCCTGTCCCTTGGCAGCAGACAGTTAACATGAGCAAAAAAAAAACCCAGACACCTAAATGGCCTTGCAACAGCGTGGGTTTTTTAGTTCACAGAGCAGAAATCTTGGACTGGTGCTAAAGGGTGACAAGTTAAAGTTCAGAGCAGGTCAATCTGAAACTCCCCCATCAACACCAGCCCCATGAAATAATTGTTAACTAATGCAGAAAGAGAGGTGGAGGAACCGAGGTGTATCCTTGGTTCTACAGCAGTAGGAAAGAGGGGAAAGAAATCTAAATTATTGTGTAATGATCTAAAGGAGAAACCTCTAAATTATTTCTTGTTTTATAATAAGTTCCTGACAAGTATTGACTACTAACTAAGAGGAAAATACTGAGTATGTTGCTTGAAGCAATATTTCTGGTTTCTTAAGCATATCTTCATAGCTGCCTTCGCCCATTCCCTTCAGGGTTGGGAGAGGCCAGGAGGAATGAGATGCGAACAGTAAGTTAGCTTGTGTCAATTGAGTTATTTTATACTTTTTCTCTGTGTAATAATATTCATTGCTTTTTTTGGTTTGGTTTTTTTTTTAACCCAGTTTAAGTTGCTGGCCAATAGAAAAATAAAGCTTGAGATTGTGTACTTACTCTGTGTAGCAAAACTGAAGGGGTACCGCGAGACGGATGGGTTATATGGATTCCTCAGATCCTTGAGGAACTGACTCCTCACCAGCAGAAGAAGCTGGTCTGAGGGACCAGGCTGAGAAGGAAGCTGGGAGGCTGAGAATGAAGACTGCTTCACGTTGTTGATCTTGCCAGCCTGGTTGTGATCCGCTGCCACGGGGTGCTGCAGGCTGCTCCTCCATGTGCCGCCCCGAGAGCTGAAGTCACCGGACCTTGGGGTACCCGGTACTGCATGTCAGGCGCGGTCTGTGCGTGGAGGCGTGCACACCCAGTGCGGCTGGTTACCGGTCAGGGCTGCCTAGGAGGGCCAGCTGAGGCTGCGAATTGGCCCGGTCTCTGCTGTGCCGTCCTGCCGGCTG